CGTACCCCTTCTCACCCACAATTAACAATTACCATAGCTAAACGCCACACTAATGAAAATCACTACTGCCGATGGGCGGAAGACGAGTGAATCACTTGGTGATGGGGTAGAATAAACAACTTTGGGGCAGAGGAGCTATGCAAGGGATTTTTGTGCAATTGCACAAAAATGAGCATCGCGCATAAACAGGACTTATAGCCTGCTCTTTTATGGTTTTGCAGGTGAAAATGAAAAAGTGTGCTAAACATTGAAGAATATCTGTTTTTATTCGTATTCTTACGGAATAATAATTAGTTGAAAAAAATTACTTTTTCAGTGCACTGAACCGTGTCGAGAAACGTTCACCGATGCTAGCACATGCAAAGATAGTGCTTGTAAGGTAAGGTACTTCTAATCGATAATTTTACAAAGACACCATAAAATCAAAATGCTATGTTTTGCATTGGTGCTCCTGCGAATATCATACTGTAGTTTTCGTCAGCATTAAGAAGTGCACGGCTCACGATAGGAAGCCTGAAATTAAAAAAAAAAACAACGAATCCAAGATGAGAATGTAGTAGAATAGTATAAAGTAACATAATCTTGAAAGCTGTGATTCGTCAGTAGTAAGAATCTTTTTACTCGATTTACATCACTTTTTTTAGAATTTTACGTCACTAATACTGTAGTGCTATATCTCATTAAATACCATACTAAAGTATCTACCTTTAAGAGGGAAGCTGAGGGGGAATTATAACGCTAGTGTGACTTTACATACATGATTCCGTAAATTTCCCGTGAACGTCCGCAATTGCACAAGTAATCAAGACAACAACAATTTTTTTTACTGTTTTATAAAAACATATAACAATAAAGCGGATTGAATCCAAATTTGACTGCGTAAGGAATAGATTCATTTTTTTTCCAGGATACTGCGGATAACAGCGTTTGTGAGAAATCTTGTGACTATCTCCAACGCATCTATACGGAAAAACCTGGAGCTTGTCCGAAGATCAAAAATCAGTCCAATTATGTACGCCTTTTGGTGATTATCCCACTCAGAACTATTGCTATAAAACTTTTGTTACAGGAATGCACCGCTCTCTGTCACTTGGATGGAGATTGTCCCGAAACTGCCAAGTGCTGTTCATATGGGTGCAGTCGGCAATGTGTTCTGCCAAAAGGACGTGATCCACGGCTTTTACCTGTTCCTGGCGCGATTTCTGTCCAAGAGAGGAAGAGGAAACGGTAGGAGATTGATTCGGTCCTAGATTTTTATACTCACAAAAGGATATTAGTATCGTGCAAGTTCAGGTCGATTATCATACGTTGGGTGATGCAAAAACTCACTCGAGAACAAAACGCAGCCAACTCCAACCTATATGTGGTACAATGGCGTTGGGGTCTACATCCTGAGGGTGAAACTATGACCGAATGGCAAACGGTTACTGTGGTAAGTGCAAATTTTACTCAGGATCGGGTATATACTGCCATTGAATTTTTTTTCTTTTCAGAGAAACAAACCATACGCAATACTAAAGCATCTGCTTTCACCTGGACGGTATTATCAATTCCGTGTCGGAGCAGTAAGCATACATGGAAGCCTTGGATTTAGCCAACCATCGCCACCGTTCAAGTTGTCCAAAGGTAGGGTATTTGTATTTGCGCTGCTATTCATTTCCACCGTAATACCCAGGGGAGAGAAAAAACAAGATCAGTTTATATTTTTTGATGTACGTGTTTACTATCTCACACAATGTGCTCTAACACTATAAAACACTCTAAATAATTAGAGAAATTGGAACTTCTTAGATTTGATTCCATGCCAGAACTGGTCTTCGAGATGGGCTGAATCTTAGCCTGCATATGGCCATCAATAAGCAAACAAAAAAATAATATTGCTAATATG